TTACTGACCTCTCTGTTCTTGAAGTCAAACGTAACCTTATTGATACTTATAAAATGCTCTCAAATTTGGCAAAAATTAATACACACAACCTCAAAGTCTCAGTAATTAAACAACTGGTGGATAAACGATATGATGACTTGCTTAACAATACGTCTAGTATGATTGACTCTATTTTTAATCGAAAGAAGAACACAATTATCTTGGATCACTTACTAATTAATGATCCTATTACAGGCAACAAATGTTTTACCGTTGACCCTAATGAAATTAAAGAGTCTACTCAACATCATTTTCAAAATTTTGCTCTTCCTGACACTGCATCTCAACCTATGCCTTTACAATGGATTCACCAATATTTTCCGAAAGATTATATCGATAGTAGTTGCTATAACAATCTTCTTCAACCTTCCACTAAGGATGAATGGCTAGGGATTTTACGGCTTTTGCCTAAGGATAAGGCCGCTGGTCCATCAGGAATAACTAATGAAATGTTAACACACTTAGGGGATAAACTGCAGTACCTTCTTTGGCAATTCATTTGCATGTACTTCATCATCAGCGACATCCCTAATGAATGGAAAATTGCACATATCTTTCCAATTCCCAAACTTATAGCTTGGGAATGTGATATAACAAAGACTCGACCTATCACGTTACTTGAAACTGCACGAAAAGGTTTTATTAAAATTTTCACCAATCGCTTATCGAAAATAATTGCTAAACATTCAGTCTTATGAGAAGGCAATTTCGCTGGATTGCCAGGGGCTTAACAGAGATCCTATTAAGATTCTTAACATGTTACTCGAGGATGCCAATGAAAATGATAAGGAAATTTGGATATTACTCCAAGTTCTTTCAAAAGCATATGATCGTGTCGATCTGTCCTTCCTTCGCAAGGCGTTACATCGTATTAAAGTTTCTAATCACGCAGTGGATTTATTGATCAACCTATTCACTGCCCAGAAAAATGCAGTGTTCACTGCTCATGGTATATCAGAATATTATGACGTTAAAATAGGTATAGATCAGGG